GTAGTTATACTTGATCAGCAGTAAATGTTGATTGATAGCCAAAAGTTCGTTTGCCAACTATTCGATAAATTCGTTCGCAATCGATAAATGTGCATATTTAAGCGCCTTTCTATTAAAGCCTAGTTGAAAGTTAATGCACCTAATTTGGATTCAATTTAATAAACAACTTAAGCTAAATGTATCGATAAACAATGCAACCTTATTTATCGATTATTGTTACTCTTACTCTTAAGCCCACAGCAAGCAGCGAAAATCTTTTATAATTGACTGCATAGACAAAGCTCACATTGACTTCAAGTCATTATTTGGCTATAAATCGATAAATATCGGCAAATATAAGAGCTGGATTCATGATATTTGATTGATGCTCTTTGCTTTCTTTTCATATTTACTTATTACAGGGTATCTCTTAGTTAGGCACAGTCTCACATTAACTTCAAGCCAATTTTTGGCTATAAATCGATAAATATCGTTAGTCAGCTAAGTATTTTTAAGCATATCTCGGCAAATATAAGAGCTGGATTCATGATATTTGATTGATGCTCTTTGCTTTCTTTTAATATTTACTTATTACAGGGTATCTCTTAGTTAGGCGCAGTCTCACATTAACTTCAAGCCATTATTTGGCTATAAATCGATAAATATCGTTAGTCTTGGCAAATATAAGACCTGGATTCATGATATTTGCATACTGGCTTATTACAGGGTATCTCTCAGTTAGGCACAGTCAGCACAGAGCTCACTTAGCGATTTCTTTTCTACTTTTGCTAGTGTCTGTCGTGCAATTGATTTGTATCCAAAATACTTCCGCAATGGTTGCGCAGAGCTGTTTATCTGCCTGTCAACACTTGAAAGCGAGTCGGTATATATACATATATAGATATATATATACCATGTATACCATGTCATATATAGATGCACGATTCATGCATGAGCCCAAATCAAGTGGCGTTTTCCATTTCCGATGTCTACTTTAAAGTCGTCTCGCTGCCTGTTTCATATTTTTCTCCTCCGTTTTCCTACGCTTCTCTCTCTCCCATTCTCTCTCTCTCTCTCTCTCTCTTTTTCTTTGCATCTTTTCGCATTTTGATGGCACATTTCCGGCAGAAGCTCTTGTTGATTTTGTCGCTCTATTTTTGGCTTATGATGCACGCATCGACTGCATTCGTAGCTCCCCATTTGGCTGGATACGTGAACTTGTTCCCGTTGCCCATTGCCATCGCCAGATGCCAGATCCCAGATTGCCACATGCCAGACGCCAGAAGTAGCCAGCAGATGCCAGTTACCAGATACCAGATTCCAGCTGCTACTTGTCGAGTCAGTCTAGTTCGTGCATCGAGATTTTCATTGGATTTTATTAGCTTTCTTCTCAGTTCTCCAGTTCTCACTGGTTCTGTAGGTCAGAACTTGGCTGGTTCCCTTCAGAAGAGAACTAGTTCCACACTCACGTTCCAATTAGCTGTTTTACATCAAAATAACTTCTTTTATTACATCTGACTCTCTAGAGAGACTCTCTCTCTCTGGCTCTTTCTCTCTGTCTCCAGAGAAACTCTTTCTATCTCTCTTTACATCTTTCTCTCTCTCATTCTCCCTCTCTCTCAGTGTCTCGCTCTCTTTTTCATTTTCTCCCACTTTGCTACCTCTCCACTACTCTCACCCTTCTCTATCTCTCTTCCAATACTATCTCACATCAGGTAAAATTCTGATTTATTTTGCCTCTATCGATATTTATCGAACTAGATTTTAATCATGCGTAACGCATTCGCCGGGTGTCAATTGCCATTTCGAGGCAGTTAGTCAGCCGTTAAGTCAGTCATTGAGTCAGTCAGACAGTCAGTCTGTGTGTCTCTCTGACGAGGACTGCATTGAGTTCGCTGCCAGCTTCTCCCACTACACATTCTGTGTGTGCACAACAAATTGTAATCAGCCGCATTTTGCAGCTTCAAGTGGTCTACTCTGTTCTTTGCATCTGCGTCTGTTTCAGTTGTTGTTGTTGACTCTTTCTTTAGGCCAGCTTGACACGTGCCATTGTGCTTAATATGGGCATGTTTGAGTGTGAGAGGGAGGGAGAGAGCGACTGTCTTTGTCGCTCTTATCTGCGGCGACACGCATCTGCGTCCCTTCTCCTTTGTCTTTGGCAGCCGTGCATTTAATTGCCGTGCAGCTGCCCGTGCCACGCCCCCAAATTAGCCCAACGTTCCCCGCCAAACTCGCAGCCGAAAAGCCAAAACCAATTGCAGCCGAAATCCATAGCCAACGCCAAGCCAAAGCCAAAAATCCACAGCGAATCGTATTTGTATCTCATTTTGTTTCTAATTTCTGTCCTCGTCTGTTTAATTGTTTTTATTTAATTTTCTATTTTGTTTTTCTTTCTTCTTCTTTTTTTTTGTTTTTGCTACAAATTAGGCCGCACTTTGCGCTTAATTTACCGCGCATCCGTTTCAGCTCATATATCCGCAGTCCTTGCCATATTTGTATCTATATCTATATATGTATTTGTATCTTTAGCTGTATCTGTATCTGTATCTGTATATTTATCTGTATCTGCATCTGGTTTTGTATCTATATCTGCATTGAGCCAGTTTTATCTTTAAAATTCTTTCGAACAGTTCTTATTGGTATTGGATTTCTGTTTATTATTTCACACTAAAAACTTAAAGATTAAAGATCCGTTTTTTATATAGAAGGTTTTATAGCTTAACGCTTTTGATCTACCAAAACACAAAGTCTTCCGTTTTTCTCCCCTTTTCTTTCAGTGTAAGCCTAGAACAAGTTTTTTTTTTACATTTGAAGACTTATCGAATAATACCTTAAGCAACGCCTACACCAGCAAAAGACAGCAACAAACTTTTTGGGTCAGTTCGCTGAACCAGACGCGAGTGCAATGCTTTGCAGATTATAAACCTTATATATAAATATATATATATATTTTTTTTTTATGGGTATATTTCAGTTGGGGTCTGTTCAAAGCGGCAGACGTGACTTTTGGGCCATGACGTTCGAGCACAATGCAAAGCAATTTCAATTCGTGGTATGTGACTAAATGATAAATTTTTGCGTTCATTTATCGAATAGACAAACAACAACGAACATAACAATAATAACAGTTTACTGTGATGGATCAGCGGAAGTAACTAAAAAAAACCAAATAAAACGAACGCTAGTCGGGATTGCCCGACTAGAAGCTACTCTGAACTGATGCTATATGAATATAGAACACAAATCTCGAATTTCAGAAGAGTAATATTCAATTTGAGGGAGGTTGGTGAATGGGAAAAGGTATCAAAAATCTTAATATAATATTTAGCGTCTTTAGCTCTAATGGTCTTTAAGTTACATTAAAAAAACGTAGTCTAAATATCGATATTTTTCAATAATAAACAAATAAGATAAGGTATCAAAACAAAGTGATCAACTTTCACTGTGTATTGTATATAAGAATCCATATATACGAGACAGAGAAACTGACGAATATGTCTAATTCGGCTTATGTCATCATTCTGATCAGGACACTGCCACGCCTCCTTCTGGCTGTCACATTAATTTGCTCTGCTTAGACATTTTCCATGGATGCTGGCTGTAATAAACAAAAGCCTTTCAAATCGATCTCTAGTAAAGTGAGCCGCAAAGAACCAATGCGAACTAGTTCCCAATTCCGATTACACAAGCGTGACTAAACGGAATCTAAGCACTAAACATGCTCGACCAGAGTTGTTTTTCTTTATTAGAACTACGTGACGTTCAATTGCTAACTCCAGCAACAAAAAAATATAAATAACAAAAAAGTCATTATTTTGCTTAGCTATTTATTTTATGACTTCTACTCACAAGTTCTTAATGGCGGCACATGCCATTGCGCAGCTAATACATCTTGCCAAATGCTTATTATCATTTAAATGGAAGCTCTCCAAATAAATCGCAATTGTAATAAATAATATGTTAAATATCTATAAATAAATTACCTAACAATCGCTATTTGTTAACTATAACTGAAACTAAAACTAACTACACGTAAAATATTCAACTTTTACTCATTCAATCTTTAATATTCAATCTGCATTCATAAAATGATTATGTTATTAAGACTTCCATTGTTATGCAATCGACATCACGATCTAGCTATAAATCGAACGTATCTTTATTCACATGTATTTGTATTCGTATCTGTATTTGTATCCGTGTATTGGTTCGCATCTCGGGGAATGCATATTCATTGGTTGGTTGCGACTGTTTGCATCTCATTCGCACCAATTGGCTGGCTCAGTGCTCAAGGTCTCTAGCGAAAAAGAGTATAACAGAGAAGAAAACAATACCAAAATTACCTCTCCCCTCTGCTATCCACACCTCCCTTCACACTAAGCAACACCCGCTATACGCTGCGCTCGGCTAGAAGACAAGTTTTGCAAGTAGCATAAAAAAACAAACAAATACGAACATAAAACGCAATGCGAAGGGAAAAAAATCCAAAATTGAATTGAATTAACATGGGAAATGCGCGCTCCACTAACAACAATGATAAAGGCAGCGACAACAACAACAAGAGACCAGCATGAGAACGCAGCAAGTGCAGCTGTGATTTTTCGCGTCTCTTATGTGCGTGTTGTTCTTCTTGTTGCCAGACCCATGTTGCTAGTGCATAATGTTGCTGAGCAGTAAGTTAACCCCTCAATGCGCAGTTTTTTAATTACTGGGTCGACAAATTTATTTATGAATACGCGTTGCAAATAATTTGATATATATATAGAATAAACAATGCTTAGACAATTGTATTTGAGCTCTGTAATAATATGATATAAACATATTATATTATTTTGAATACAAAATACATTTTCATTCCATTTACAGCATATTGCCCACTTTCTTTACGGGGTTAAGCGCTTATCTACTTATACACATATATAAATTGCATCAAAAGAAAAAACTCTTGCGCCTCAAAAATCCATGCATATAAGCCTGCATGTATACATTGCATCTAAACATAAAGGAACCGTTCTGCTTACCTGCACGCAAAATGCTGCCAAAAATGCGAAGCTCCAAAGCCAACAATGCTGCCGAGCTGTTGTTGATCTTGTCGTAATTGTTGTTGTTCCAATTGGCTGTTTCTGTTGCTGCTGCCTTTTGAGTCGAATTCTTGTTGTTGCTTTGCTTAGCGTGTCCAACATTTTGTGGCCGTCTTGTAGCTGTTGTTGCTTGTTGCTTACTATTGCTATCTGAACGCTGTTGTTTCAGTTGTTTTTATTATTATTTTTTTTCTCCGTTTTGCTTTTTGACTTTATCAATGCACTTTGGCTAATTTCTTTTAATTTTCGACATTTTCGTAACGGGAGTAGTTTTTGTTTTAAGCAAATGCATTGTTTGTTTTTGTTTTCTTTTCTTTTCCTTTTTTGTTTTGTTTGTTTTGCAACTTCAACTGAATTATTTTTGTATAAACTTTCCTCGCGTCATTCTACGAGAGAGTAAATATTAGAGATGGTGAGAAAGAGAGAGAGAGAGAGAGAGAGTTATGCATTTACAACGCATACAAAATATATATGCGAGCGCGAGAGCGCCAACTAGACAAGCAAACACGTGTGTGTGTGAGCGTGTGAGTAAGGTATTTGTGTATGCGTGTGTGTGTGTTAGCTTGTATATGAGCAGCTTTCAAGCCGAGCTCAGCGCAGCTTTTGCTGTTGATCAATAGCGCTCGCTCGCTCACTCGTTCGCTTGTTGCCCCTTTATGTCTCTGTGCTTCTTCTTGCAATGTGCGTTATGGGGCTGCGGCGGCGCCTGCGCCAACGGTTTTGTTTCTGTTTGTTGGCCAAGCTTTCGATTTTTTTATTGGTATTTCTTTTTTTTAATGTTAGTGCATTAAAATTTTGTCAGTTTCCACAGAGCAGAGATGGCGTCACATTGCAAAAGCTCAGAAACTGAAACATAAATACGAAAAATGTATGCATATTCGTGCGTGCGTCGGTGTGTGCGTATTTATTGTGAATACCAATAAAAAGAAATCAACAACTTTTACAAAAACCTGAATTTTTTTGGTTTTTACGTTAAAGCTGCCTAGGGTCGAGCTATTGTTGTTATTGGTTGTTAATAACATTGCCGTATGCAAAAAAGGCCTTCAACTTTGTTGCAGAGCTGCAGCTGAGCGAGAGTCAGAGAGCAAGAGAGAATCAAGCACAAGTAGTAAAATATGAAGAAGCAGAACAAGCCGTCAATGATGGCAGATTTTACACTCGCTCTCGCAGAATAGACAATGCAGGAAAGAGAGAGAGAAAAATATCCAAGCTAAGCTTGAGCCATTGTTCTGTTCATTAATAGAACAGCAACAACAAATTCAGCCATAGCTAATCAACGTTAAAGCTTGAGAAACAGCAAGTAAACAAAAACAACGCAAAGCTCAAAAAACGAGTTTTTTTTTGGGTAAATTTTGTTTTCAACCGAATTCGGGACAAGTTTCTAACCACAATTTGAATATATATATGTACATATATATTTATTTATATATATATGAACATATATATATATATATATATATATATATATATATATATATATATTATATATATATATATGTTCATATATACATATATATATATAAATTTTTTTTGCTTATGCCCAACAATTTCCGCTCATGTTTTTCAAATTCATTCACAAACACTGGAGAAATTACAACAAAAAGTTTTTTCTAATAGAAAAAAAAACCAACAAGAAGTAGAAAATGAGAGACTATTGCAAAACGGCGCCAACAGAGCGCGCTTTAGTGCGAGGGGGAGGCAGTGCATTGGCACGCAAAAGAAAGCGACGGCATGCATAGAAGGAGGGGGAAGCAGTGGTGCGGCGACAACAAACAAAAAAGGTTTATGCTGCCGGTGTTGCCAGTGTTGCGTAGGTGTTGTTATTGCTGTTGCTTTTATTGTTGCGACAAAAACAACTCTCAATTTCTGCTTTTACTTTACTGCTGCGGCTACGGCTGCTGCTGCGCTACGCTACGCTTTGCTGCTCATTTCTTGGCCAAAAAAAAAGTGTGTGTTTGTTAATATATATTAAAGACACGAACTTTTCTTATACAACATTTAAACATATATATCTGTGTATGTGTGCTTTCATATATTTATAAATATGTAGCTGCGTTCAAAATTATTTTGCTAACCGTCGCCAAAAAAAATAACACAAACATACAACAACAAAAAAACAACAAAAAACGTACACTCAGACGCAGACGCACACACACACAAACGTAAACATACACGACGGTGACGACGACCGCGACGGACAAGCACAGCGGCAAAACAGAAAACGGACGACGATGAGACTGCGACACGCAACTGAACACGTTCACGGCCAAAACTCGACTGAGCATCGGGCTTTGTAGCGGTGGCTGCGCTGCCTGCATCGCAAGTCGGCTGAGCAAGTGTCTGCGTGCGTGTATTTTTGGGTGTGTGTGCGTGTGTATAGAGGCTTTGGTGTTTGTGTGGGAGACGGCTCTCGGTGCGCTGGGTGGATGTTTCTGTGGCAGCGTTGCCATACTTGGCGCGTGATTTTAAATTGTTCAACGGCAGTGTTGGCAAACTCTTTGATTATTTCAATAACAATTTTTCAATTATGGAAATTGAAGATTGACAAACACAATCACGGCTTAGTTACAATAATTTATAAATTATTTGTACTTAAGTTTTCAATCAAACATGGATGTTGGTTTGAATTCACAATTAACCACTTACTTTTAAATATTTTATATAGAAGACAAAATAAATTTTTTATTGATAATTAATTACTAATAAAAATATTTAATATTTAACTAAAATTAACTAAATCTAATTTCGTATTGCCTAATACCGAAAAAGAGCTTGAAGATCGATATGTAAACATAGGAAACTGCCGTGCATTAATCGACTCATCGCATAAAGCTAGAACTATCGATACGGCACATCCCTAATTTCAGTGTTTCTTTTATTGTGTACACATCACTAACACCAGATTTGGCTACACGGTTTCTTTGGCAAATATATTCAACGTTAATATTTATTTACCAAATATATAATCAGTGTATTCAAACTGAACGCGCCGTTTTAACGCGTATTGCAATTAAGGGCAATAAGGCGTGGCAATATTCGAATTCAAAGGAACGCAACCGAAAGGGAAAAAGACCGGCAGCAGCTTCCCCACACACACATAGAAACGCATATACGCATACATATGTAGGTTAATCTATGAAAGTGTCGCTAAAAACAAGAATCATCTCCCATTGTGCAGAGACAGCGAGCGAGAGAGAGAGAGAGACAGAGAGTGAGAGGAGGAGGTGGAGCAGCAACAGCAGCAGTAGTAGTAATAGGTGTCATCATCAACACATTTAGGCCATGAAGAACGTTCTGATGGTGGCCGAGAAGCCTTCGCTGGCTGCCTCCCTCGCCGGCATTCTCTCCAACGGACGCTGCACAACAAAGCGAGGTTAGAGACGATAAACAATAACAATATAACTGTTAATTTCATTGATATGATGTACATAAATTGACCGACTGAAGAGCATGGCAAAGCTTTAAGCTATTAAAATTCAATTCAGTTCAGTTCTTGAATTAAAAATTTCGAAGCTTTAATATGTGTTGCTAAACTTCTCTAACGTCTAACAATCCAATCATCTGCTTATCTATATAGCTGTATATATTAATAGGCATATATATTATTCTTAAACAGGGACCAACGGTTGCTCCACTCACGAATGGACCGGACACTTTCGCAACGAGGGCAATGTACATTTTCGCATGACCTCGGTTTGCGGCCATGTGATGTCGCTCGATTTCATTAGCAAATATACCTCATGGGATAAAGTGGATCCGGTGGAATTGTTCCGCTGTCCAACGGAGAAAAAGGAATGCAATCCCAAGCAGCAGATGCGTTCGTTTCTGTCACATGAGGCGCGTGGCTGCGATTACCTTGTCTTGTGGCTCGATTGTGACAAAGAGGGCGAAAACATATGCTTCGAGGTGATGGACGCAGTGCAGCATGTCATACACAACGTGTACAGTCGAAATGTGACATATCGAGCACATTTCTCAGCTATTACGGACAAGGATATCAAGGGTGCAATGGAGTCGCTGGGGCATCCTAATGAGAACGAGGCCAAATCTGTCGATGCACGACAGGAATTGGATTTGCGTATTGGCTGCGCCTTTACACGGTTCCAAACGAAGTTCTTTCAAGGTCGCTACGGCGATCTGGACTCATCGCTCATCTCCTATGGCCCATGTCAGACGCCAACATTGGGCTTCTGTGTGAAGCGACACGACGATATACAATTGTTTAAGCCCGAAACTTTTTGGTATTTGCAATTGATGGCTGGTCAGCCGGAATATACGCTCGAGTGGGCGCGTGGACGTGTCTTCAAAAAGGACATTGCCATCATGCTGCTGAACCGTGTCAAGGAGCACAAGGAGGCGACGTAAATAAAACTTTAACTATCTTCCATTCTATTTCTCACATAACCTTTCTCTCTCTTACTGTCTTTGTCTTGTAGTGTGGAGAGCGTAAGCAGCAAGGAGTCATTCAAGAGCAAGCCACAGGCCTTGAACACCGTCGAGCTGATGAGAATTTGCAGCTCCGGTTTGGGCATTGGTCCCTTTCAGGCCATGCAAATTGCGGAACGTCTATATACTCAGGGCTATATCAGTTATCCGCGCACAGAGACCAATCAGTATCCGGAGAATTTTGATTTGCATGCCGTGCTACGGGTGCTGCAGCCATCGGGCGATTTTGGCGACGAGGCGCGCGCTATTTCGAGCGATTTTCAAACGCCACGCAAGGGCAAGGATGCGGGCGATCATCCGCCGATAACGCCCATGAAGCTGGGCCAGCGCAACGATTTCGATCGGGATACCTGGCGGGTTTACGAATTCATTTGCCGTCACTTTATGGGCACCATATCGCGTGATCTGAAATACCGCACGACGACGGCCAAGCTGAAAGTTGGCCTCGAGTCGTTCACATGCACAGCGAATGTTCTGCTGGATGCGGGCTTCACGAAAGTTATGACCTGGCAAGCCTTTGGCAAAGACGAGGCAATGCCGCCGTTCGTCCAGGGCACACAGGTGGCCATTAATGATGTGCGCCTGGCCGAAAGCCAAACCGGCCCGCCCGACTATCTGACGGAAGCAGAATTGATAACGTTAATGGAGCAGCATGGCATCGGCACCGATGCCTCCATACCCGTGCACATCAACAACATCTGTCAGCGCAACTATGTGAAGATCGAGAGTGGCAGAAAGCTGATACCGACGACATTGGGCATTGTTCTGGTGCATGGCTATCAGAAGATCGATCCGGAATTGGTGCTGCCCACGATGCGATCCGAAGTGGAACGCATGCTTACGCTCATTGCCAAAGGATCGGCGGACTTCAATGATGTCCTGCGACATGCCATCAAAATCTTTAAGCTGAAGTTCATGTACTTTGTACAAAACATTGCCAGCATGGATATGCTCTTCGAGTCATCCTTTTCGCCGCTGGCCGAGTCGGGAAAGGCGCATTCACGATGCGGCAAATGTCGAAGATACATGAAGTATATACAGGTATATAGATATGCATGCATATAGAAATAGATGTAGAAAAAGATATGTTTATATATCTATATAGAAAGGTGTAAGCAGTTAGAGACACAAGCATGAAGAGAATGAGAGAGACAGAGAGAGTTATAAGAAAGAGAGAGTTGATATAAATAGAGATAGAGAGAGATAGAACACATATCAAATAAGCGAAAGGTAAAGAAATGTGTTGAGATATAAATAGAGAGAGACATGTATATATGAATAGATATATTGATTTGTAGATGATAGATAGATAATTAACAAAATATTCACACAACAATAATAAGCCTTACTATAAATGGATTCATCTATAGACATAGACATAATTAACCATATATGAAACATGAAATTATGAATATAGAATGAAGAGTGAGAGGCATAGAGATATAGGCAACGATATCTAGGTATATATCTGTATCTGTTAACAGATAACCTAATATGCTGTTAACTGGCTAACTACATCCATAATTAACCTAATTTGGATATAGTATACCGAATTTTGAATGGAGTTATGAGTAATTCTATTATTGCCATCTCTTTCGCAGACAAAGCCGGCTCGTTTGTACTGCTCGCACTGCGACGAGAACTATACGCTGCCCAATGGTAATGTTAAGGTGTATCGTGAATTCAAATGTCCGCTGGATGACTTTGGTCTGCTGGCATTTTCGACAGGTGTGAAGGGTCGTTCGTTTCCCTTCTGCCCGTATTGCTACAATCATCCGCCTTTCAGGGATATGCCGAAATTCGGCGGCTGCAACACCTGTACGCATCCCACCTGCCCGCATTCGCTGAACACGCTGGGCATATCCGGCTGTGTGGAGTGCGAGACGGGCGTATTGGTACTCGATAGCACGCTATCGCCCACCTGGAAGCTGGGCTGCAATCGCTGTGATGTGATCATCAATTGCTTCAAAGGTGCCACCAAAATAACAGTAGAAGGTGAGCGATTAACGAAATCGATCTGTACTTAAATACAAATATAATTGTGATCCTTTCTTATCAGAGAGCAAGTGCAGCGATTGTGGCGCACAACTGGTCAACGTGGTCTACAAATCGGATAAATCGAAATTCAAGGATGGCAGCGAGGAGAAAAGCGGCTGCATTTTTTGTTCTAGTGAATTTGCCCACCTGGTTGAAAAACATCGTGCGGTCGCCTCGCGTCAGGTGCGCAGTGGCGGCGCCTCTCGTGGCGGTGGCGGCGGAGGCGCTGCTAGCGGCCCGGGCGCTGGCAATGCACGTGGCGGACGCCATGGTGGCCGCCCGCCAAAGGATAAAATGGCACAATTGGCTGCATATTTCGTTTGATCAAGCACTGCCCAATACTGGCCTCTAATTCAAATTGCATTTAACTAATCTAGAAATCTAGACTTGGCAGTAAATAAACAAAATTTGTATAAATATAATTGCAATTTAGGATTTTCTCTTTCGTCCCAGTGCAAAACTTAAGGGTTAAGCGCCTTCTCGCCAAAGACAGTGTTGAGAAATGTCAATATTTCCACCTAACGTAGATATCAACAAATATCATTGATAGAATTGGTGATCAGTAGGAATGAAACTGCTATAAATTATAGACACACTGCAAATATTTGTTTTGATTACAGCCTAAGTTTTAAAGTATTTATTGAATTTGTCAGTTGACAAATATCGATATTTATTAGGTTAACGCCCCCCAAACGTTTACAATGCAAACCTTTCAAGGCTTCAAATTATTACTGTTTGGGTTTTCTACTCATAATTAAGCATTCCGACATTTATTTTGAGTGCATTTTAATTATATCCACATTTATGAATTGGTAAGCAGTTTATTTAAATCTAATATTTACCAAATGAAAATGCCTTCATATTCTAAAAAAAGTATCGATCGCGCAGATCGTCGTAAACGATTATTTAGCAGTATCTAATGAAATTTCTATGTATGTCGCCACTTTGCTAGAATATTACGCCAAGATGTACATTTATTAGATTTACATAAATATAAGCTACAAGCTTATTCAGATACGACATATTTAATTTCAACTTCATTATAAAGCAAGGGTTCAAATCAATTGCAGGTGACTAAGGAATATATCGATATATCGCCTGCTTAAGCGACTATTTATTATTAAGTGTCGCGCATAAAATTGCAATAAATAATACAATACTTAAAGCAACAATTATTATCTACTGCAACTAAGCAACTTAATTTGTTGGCAAATTTTAAAATGTTTAACGTCAAGCACCCAAACGTTTAACATCTGCACAAGCATAGACACACATCGATATGCGTTCCGTGTATAAACGATGAATTTGGCCGTTGCATATGCAAATTCATTGTGCGATAACTCGCGGAACGCAAGGTCGTTGCCGATAACAGCTGTTTGTGTCCGTCTGTTATTGTCGCTCAGCCCCATCACTAACGTTGCTCTTGTCTAAAGAAATTTATTAAGATTTCGACAGATAGTAAAAAGCAACAGCAGACGTATTGAACAGCGCGCAGGCAAAGGCATACTGCGACCCAAACAGTACAGCCAGTGTACAAATAAATAGCACGCGCACGTTACACACAAATCAGTTTGTTACAAATTTTCATAAAACCAATATTGCCAGCCGTCGTCGTCCCCCTAACCCCTCGAGCAGCTTAGCCAACAACGTTTGCAATGGACAAGCTCATCAAGTTGACGAACCATCGTTCAGGGATAGTCGTGGGCGAAAAATACAGAATCATACGCAAAATAGGTAAGTGCAGCCAACCATCCATTTGCCATTTAGCAGCAATTACCCCATTTTTCGAGGGTCAGGGCCAAATGCAGCTCGCCTGGATTTGTGATTTAGTGTATTTGTGCTTCTGTGATTTGTGCTTTGTAAATTGAGAAATTTGACTTTAGGAAGTGGCTCCTTTGGCGACATCTATCTGGGCATGAGCATGCAATGCGGCGAGGAGGTGGCGATCAAAATGGAGTCAACCAATGCCCGCCATCCGCAGCTGCTCTACGAGTACAAGCTCTATCGCGTTCTCAGCGGAGGAGTTGGCATACCACGTATTCGCTACTATGGCAATGAGAAGAACTTCAATATATTAGTTATGGATCTACTGGGACCCTCGCTAGAGGATCTATTCAACTTTTGCACACGTCACTTTACAATTAAGACGGTGTTGATGCTGGTCGACCAGATGATCGGCCGCTTGGAGTATGTGCACAATAAGTGCTTCATTCATCGCGACATCAAACCTGACAACTTTCTCATGGGGATCGGGCGGCACTGCAACAAGCTGTTCCTCATCGACTTTGGGCTGGCCAAGAAATTCCGTGATCCTCACAGGCGCATCCATATACCCTATCGCGAGGAGAAGAATCTAACAGGTACGGCCCGCTATGCATCGATCAATGCTCACGTTGGCATCGAGCAGTCCCGTCGCGACGACATGGAGTCCCTGGGCTATGTGATGATGTACTTCAATCGAGGCGTCCTGCCCTGGCAGGGCATGAAGGCGACCAACAAAAAGCAGAAATATGATAAAATCTCTGAGAAGAAAATGTCCACGCCCATTGAGGTGCTCTGCAAGGGCTATCCGGCTGAGTTCTCAATGTATTTGAATTACTGTCGCAGTTTGCGCTTCGAGGAGGCGCCCGACTACATGTATTTGCGTCAACTGTTCCGGTAAGTGATTGCCAAACTCGCTCTCGCTCCCACTTTCACTCTCTCGCTCTGTGTCGCTCTGTCTATGCAAAGCTTTAATTGATTTGATTTGTTTGATTTAACAGCATTTTGTTCCGCACGCTGAACCATCAATATGACTACATCTATGACTGGACAATGCTAAAGCAAAAAACCCATCAAAATCAGCAGCAGAGCGCCGACAATATGCTGACGCCGGAGCAGCGTGCCGAACGTGACAAGGAGAAGCAGAGCGGCAGCAAGCCAAACACATTGGCTGACTAAACGGTGCTCGCTCAGAGCAGTTATAATAACAACAATAAAATCAACAACAAATAAGAATAAAAATAACAATAACAACAAATAAAGCAAAAAAAAAACTATAATCGAATAAACAAAAACAACAACAACAAGAAGAAGAAAGCAAAAGGATAAGCAGAAGATAAAACGGCACTGGCTGCATTGCAGGACGAGCTAACCAGGATAAGTTGATGAGAGATATGCATATATAACAACAACAACAACAAAAACAATTTATATATACATATACATATATATATATGTATATATGTATATATATATATATAAATATATAGTATATATATACTTATATAAATATATATATACATATATAAATATATATATAATTTATTTTTATAACAAGTGCAAGGGCAGCAGCTATTATATGTATATAGAATTTAATGTTACACACACACACACACACACACAGATAGAGACCTCCCCCTACTCTGTTTCCCTATCAGGACTAAGCTCCTGCAATGCACACACATATATATATATATGTACATTTATATATATATATGTATACATATATATACATGTATATATATATACATATATATATATATATATGTATGTATATTTATATATATACGTTCTATATAGTTGTTATCAATGCAATAGTTAGGTCTGTTATCAGACTAGATCCAGAGCAGACATATATACATATTCATATATATATATGTGTATATATATATATATATATATATGTATACATATATAGTATATATATATATATATATATATATATATATATATATACACATATATAGTATATATTCTATCATAAACACTCACATACACACACAATTAGTTGTATTAGCTAACACAAACAAATTTGAAGCGCGGAAAATGTGTTTTTTATACCCCTTTCATTCGCTTAAGTTACAAAAAAATAACAACAAAAAGGAAGAAGAAAAAAATTTGTATTAAAGTACATAAAATCAGGTGCACAATTACCACTCACAATTACCACTCCCCACCCAACATCCCCACACCCCATATTTGACATTGCATCGAGTTTTTCTTTCCTTTTTCTATTTTCTTTTCTTATTATTATTATTTTTTTTTTTTCGAAGTTTACCTTCTTTTCTAAAGTCGTCACTGACGAGCACAAAAAATTCTTCGTTTTAACAAAAATAGCAGCAAAAATATATTTAAATATATATATACACACACACATATATATATACATATATTAATTCTTCCCCTATGTTAAACCAATTGTAACCCTAAAACAAAATGAAGAAAACATTAAAAACATTGCTAAATAATAAACACAAAACTGCGCAAATTATAATTTCATTAAATTGATCAATTTTCATGCTTTTCTCATTTTTTTTTGGCAAGATCAATAATATAAAAAAAAATAATAATAAAGAGTAATTAAAAAATTTAAAAAAATATATATAAATTATGAATAAATAAAATTAAAAATTTATTCATTAAGCATACGAGTATGTAATATAACAAACAATTGTAATATTGTAATCTATTATTATGAGAAAAGTTTACAAATAAAAACAAACGACAAAAAAATACAAAAAAAACTAAAAACAAAAAAAATCCCCAACAAAATGCACGAAATATTTTCTAATTGTTTTTTGAATGCTCGATGGAAAAAGCTCGATTTGGGTAAGTTGGAAGAGAAAGGATGACAGATTGATTGATTGATTGACTAACAGCATTACTGATTGATTGACGGGCGGGGTGATTGATTGACTTACCAGCTAACTGAGCAACTGCAATCTAGAATCTCATTGCACAACCTTTTTGATTGATTGATTGATTGATTGATTGTCTATGTGATTGATTACTTCGTCAGTTAGAGACTAACTGCAATTACAGTTATACGAAATATCACCTCACATGAAGCATTTAATATTGATTGACGGATAGATGGATTGATTACATGATTGATTGGCCTTTTGATTCATTGATTCCTATTCTACGATTTACTATGTATAGCAAATTTCGAATCTCTACTTCTGAGCCCGTAAGATTGATTGATGGACTGATTGATAGCTTGATTGACTTGCAGTCTGATTGATCAATTTAACAGTTTCTAGACTCAGATTTCGAATCTCTGAGGACTTTTAGAATGATTGCCTGACCGATTGATTGATGATTTAATTGATTGACTAAAATGTTAAAAGTAAAATTACAAAAGAAAGAAAAAGAAGTATATATACTAAATTGTGATGCTTATAGTTAAAAGCTTCCACATAGAGCACATATGAAAGACCGAGCAACGCCGGATAACACGAAAAATTGCACGACAAAATTGGGCTAGTAATAGGTAGAAATAATGCTTTACAAAATGCAGATTTCTAATCTCTAATTAATTTAGATTATTTTTTTTTCGGTTCCAAACTTAAGAAAATCTCGCAAAATGTAGCTGCTTTGCAGCTGCCAGAAATCTCCCAAGCTTTACTAATTGGAAAGTCCAAAACTTGACAGCTCCTTAAGTCGTATTTCCATTTCTATCTGTAGATGTTTCTCTACATCCATTCGTTCATCCATCCAACCTATGTCTTTATAACTTCTGTCCATATATAGAACTATCATACTGTCGACCCTTCCATTATATATTTATCTATCCCTACAGAGATCTATCTATCTATCCATCCACCCAGCCGATATCCATCTATACACTTGACTTTCTATCTTTCTATACTCTCTCTACCTCTCTATATCTATCCATTCGGCTACCTATCTATCCCTCCATTTATGCGTTCTATATTCGATTTTTTTCTGTATTTCTATAGATCTATCTATATGGCCATCCATTCATCCATTTATTCTTGATATCTTTCTATCTTTCTTTACACCTATCTCTTCATTCTATGTCTATCTATATACGAAACTTTCTTTTCATCCAGTCGATGAGCATCTTGCTTGATAAGAAAGACAGAAATCTATCTATAGTTCTTCCTTCAGTACATATCCATCTATATTCCTCGCTCACTGTCTTGTAATCCTTCCGTCCATCCATTCTCAATATCCATCTGTATACCAGACTTTCTGTAGATTTTTCTCTCCTTACAGCTAACTAGCTGTATAACATACTTTCACTTTATCCATTATCGAACTGTTATATTTATCGATCTTTCTAATGTATAATCTGCTTTTTTATCTATTTCTCTATTTACCACTTATCTCAAATTTACATATATACATATATATATATGTCTTACAATGTCAAACGAAATGAAATTTTAATTTTAATTTTAATTTCAACATATTTATTGATGTAATTCAAAAAATTAAATATAAGTTATCGTTTATAATTATTACGGCTTACAATGCAAAAAATTTATTTGCAGTTTTGCGTTTGTTTTTGTTGTTTTTTTTTTCTTTTTTAAATTTTTTTAATTTCTTTTTTTTTGTGTTTTTTTTTATTGTTTTTGTTTTTGTTTTTGTTTTAGATTCCTCCCCTCTCGCTTGGCCTTGCTCGCATGTTTGTTTTTATTTATTAAGATTTTTATTGCGTTTTTGTTTTGTTTTATTATTAATTTCATAATTTTGTTTTTAGTGAAATCAATATCAATTTATATATGGATATATATAAACTTTTTATATATGCATATTTTTACACGCGAGAAACATTTGAATGTGTGTATGTGTGTGTGTGTGTATATGTGTTGTGTGTGTTGCATTATATACATATATAATATATATTTTTGCATTGTTATATCAAATGTATATATATATATATACATATACATATATATTTATCTATATATATGTATATGTATATATATATATTTTTTTTTCTTTTATTTTTTTTTTTGCTTTTGCTTTTATTAGGCTAAGTGTTTTGCTTTTCTCTGTGTGTGTGTGTGTGTATGAAAATTGGCGCGTGTGTATGTGTGTGTTTGTGTGTGAATTCCATTTAGATATATTCTTTCATTTTTATGTTTGTTTTCGTCGTCGTCTTAAATGTTTAGTATTGAATTTAAATTAATATTAAGAAACATCCCAACTTTCGTTTCGGTTTCCGTTCGCTCTTCCTTTCTTCTTTCTGCTTATTCCTTTTCTTTTCTTCTCATTTTCATTTGATTCCATTTTGTGTTACGCATTCTGTTGCTTGTTTTTAACGCTTGCCACCCAAAAGTTATTTGTTTTATTTGTATTATTATTATTTATCTGCTTTTCAGCTGAATTACTCGGTGATGGGAGGTTTGCAGTTCGGTTTCTCTTTCTCCTTGTCGCGGTCGTTGCGCGGCTCCAACTGTTCCAGCAGCAAGGCGGGATTGGGCTGACCCTGGTGGGTCTTCTGCTTCAGCATTGTCCAGTCATAGATATAGTCATACTGATGGTTCAGCGTTCGGAACAAAATGCTAAACATGCCACAAAAGAGAAAAAAATACGTTAGATTTCGTCTTTGGTATAACGATCAATATACATATATCAATTCAACTAATAATCTCTCTCTCTCTCTCTCTCTCTCTGCCTATTAATCCCTCCATCCATCTTATATATTTGTTAACTTTTTTCCATATATCTATAGATCTTTCTTCACTCTATTTATCTATCGTTAAAAGTGACTTTCTCTATGTCTATCTATAGATCTACCTACAAAACTTTTTTTATCTGCTTCATCATTTCAATTATCTAGCTGATCTTTTATATATCTCTCTATTTACCCATCTATCTAGCACGTACTGCTTTAACAATTTCATAGCCCAACTATTTTCGTATCTTTCATCTGATATTGTTAGCTTTTGCTGGCAAGCGGAGTCATAGCTTTCGTCATTTGTTTCTGGAAAGCTTAAGACAGAAAACGAGCTAGAGCATATTTTAATCAAGCTCTTTCTGATTGATCTGCGGCTTGTCCATTGAACTTGCCTTTAACTCCTACTTTTGAGCTGTCAAATCTGACGTAGACTCGACTCTTATGACGGGCTGCCAATGCAATCGCATTGCCCAAAGAACAGACTCAAGCGGAGAGAGCGATGGAGAGCTATAAAACTAGCAACTAACCGGAACAATTGACGTAGGTACATGTAGTCGGGCTGTTCATCGAAACGCAAGCTACGACAATAGTTCAAGTACATGGAGAACTCGGCCGGTGAGCCCTTGCAGAGCACCTCGATGGGTGTGGACATCTTCTTCTCAGAGATTTTATCATATTTCTGCTGCTTATTGTTAGCCTTCATGCCCTGCCAGGGCAGGACGCCCCGATTGAAGTACATCATCACATAGCCCAGGGACTCCATGTCGTCGCGACGGGACTGCTCGATGCCTAAATGGGCATTGATCGAGGCGTAGCGGGCTGTGCCCGTTAGATTCTTCTCCTCGCGATACGATATATGCTGACGACTGTGGGCGTCGCGATATTTCTTGGCCAGGCCAAAGTCGATGAGGAACAACTTGTTGCAGTGCCGCCCGATGCCCATGAGAAAGTTGTCCGGCTTGATGTCGCGATGAATGAAACACTTCAGATGTATATACTCTAAGCGGCCGATCATCTGGTCGACCAGCATCAGTACGGTCTTAATGGTAAAGTGGCGCGTGCAAAAGTTGAATAGATCCTCCAGCGACGGTCCCAACAGATCCATGACCAAAGTGTAGAAGTTCTTCTCCTTGCCATGGTGGCGTATCCGCGGGAAACCCACGCCCCCACTGAGCACGCGATACAGCTTCGCCTCATACAGCAGCTGAGGATGGCGGGCATGAGCGCTCTCCATCTTGATGGCCACCTCCTCGCCGCTCTGAATGCTCATGCCCAGATAGATGTCGCCAAAGGAGCCGCTGCCTGTAAAACAACAAATTTAATACTATTTATAGATATATATATATAAATGTAGATGGGTTACTTAATCTATAATAAGAGTTTATAATGAATGAAATGGCGAACGTGAATCATGTTCCCGAAAGCAAAGTCATACATTAAAGAAAAGCAAGTAATTTGCTTAGCAACTACCTCGATTTTGATACATATATATGCTATATCACATAAGCTACGGCCTGATAAAGAAGTTCCAGTTCGTATGATATGATAGCTTATATAATATGATAAATAAACTAGCTCAAAGGAATTCGTTGATGAGTTCTACGCATCGATGAAGCTCCTTTAGTTATAAACTAGAATTAAACTAATTTAAGATACTTTTTGCATTGCTGTTGGTAGCACAGATCAGCTTCTTATAGCCAAACTTGAGCTATTCTAAGATATTTTGAAACGAGTTTCCATTTTCAGGCGCTACAGGCTATGGAAACAGGCAGACATAGGCTATGAAGATCCATAATATGATATGAAGTTGGGAATTACATTATATATATATATATATATATTGATATATATAAAGCTGACATATGCAAAGTCTTGGCATATCACTTGAGTTTATCTAACATAATTTGAGAGTTTCCCGTTATAAATATATATGATACTTTAGTTATAATAGCTATACGATTGACTCTATGTATTACTCTATTTCATATATACATTGTAAACAACAAAGCAGAAAAAACTTATGAATGACTGTTGCTATGATAGCTATATATATATATATAGGATTTCAATCTGTATCTGATTACAACTGAACGAAGCAGCTATGCAAAGTTTGTTTAAGAATGGAAAGCTGAGCAGACAGTTGGCCATATAGAATCGGCTGTTGTTACAAATATGATATATGATATATATCCGTATATATATATATATATTCTTAAAGCTGTTTACTGTTATTGCCTTAAAGCTGTTTGGTTCTGTGAATGATTTTACTGAAAGAGTCATGAATGAACATGGTTTATCGCATATTTATACACATATATATGTTTCCACTTACCTATCTTGCGTATCACCCGATATTTGCCGCCGATTATTATCTGGGAACGATGTTCCTTCATCAACCGCAAATTGTCCATGTTGATGGGATAATGGCTACGCCGTGCGTTCGCTTCTTTTTAACAATATGAAACTCCTCTTCTTTTTGTTTTGTTTTTAGTTTTGTATATATATATATAAGCAAATGTATATATTTATATATATTTATTATTATAACTTATAGACGAAATCTGTTGAAGATGGCCAAAAGTAAAACAAAACAAAAACTTTATTCATTCGTTCATTTTCTATTATTATTTTTGTATTTTGTATTTTTTATTTTTTTTTTTTTGTTTATTGGCGCCAACGGAGCAAAAGGCAAAAGGCATAAGCACTTTCTTTTCGAACGCTTTTTTCGGTTATTTGTTGTTGCTGTGTCCGTTCGTTCGTTTGTTATTGCACACACACACACATATATACATATATACACACATGCTACACAGTTGCTGTATTGTTTTGTTATGATTTTCGCTGCACTCTCTTTGGCATTTATGCTTTGCTAAACTATTCGCTTCCAAAAAAATAAAAAAGAAAAAAACTTAGAGAAAAAAGATTTGCTTGCAAATATTGCGCATTTTCATAACGAAATTAACATTTTGAATCGATAGTCGATATATTGAATGCGTGCGCGCGTGCATGTGTGTATATATGTGTGTGTGAGTGTTGGACAACAACAACAACAGCCATGGGCTGCTTGCAGTGTCAGGTGGCCTAATGGTAGGAGACGTAAACAGACTGTTGTTCGATTATTTATTTTCATTATTGTCGATTTCTATATAAACAGAGCCGCTGATAAACGATAAACAACTGCGACGAGTCACACAACTACAATAGCAGGTATAGAACAGCAACAACATCAACGGGACAACTACATGCTCCGCTTCTTTTACCCCGTTGGAATGCACATTACACACACACATATACATGTATATATATATATATATATATATATATGCAAACGCAGCAGCACCAACACTTTAGCATTGATACATACACACACACACGCACGCACACAGCTGCAAGCAGTTGCTACTACTGCACCTTACATGTTTCTTTTTCATCGCCTTTTTTTGACACAAAAGAAAAAATTAAGTCAAATGTTAGCCCGCATTTGAACGCATGCTGCGCTTTGTTTTACTTTTTCGTAGACCGTTTGATGTAGAGTTGTTCAATTTGCTTTTTCATTTTTTCTTCGGTAATTTCTTTATTTTAGCATGAAATCTTACCACGAAACGTTTGCGAACATCAGTGAAACGGTTTAAAACTGCTGTGCTGGGTGTTTCTCAAGGTTGGCTTTTTACTATTGTACGAGGGGGGCCAAAACGAATGACAAAAAAAAATTATATATATATGTAAGTGTGTGCGTGTGTGTCTGTGTGTTTATATATGTGTATATGTGTGTGTGTGAAATTTCGTAGGAAATTTGCGTCTGTGACAGCGAGGTGGCCCGTTAATGCACTCGCAACTGTCGCGTGAATGTCTTTTAGCACTTAACGTACGCGCACAACGGAAAAAAAGAGGAAATATGTGTTTTTATTAACTAAAATAAAATGGTTAGACTCCAGCAAAAATGCTTTTGCTAGTGCTGACAGCCAGCGAATCACTCGCACGACTATCGACTATCACAACACGATGGCACGATAGGCAATGGTTATGGCTGTACAGAGTAGCACTTCAGTGTTGCATAACGCCACACACTTATCGAGCAGTGCTTTCTTGATATTTTTCTCGGATAGCGCTGCCACACTGTTAATAACTATTATTATTACGTGTATAAATTACCGTAGCAATTTTGACGCTCAACTAGATATTGTTGTAGTTTTAAGCGTAGGCTACTCTAATGCTTGGCTACCTTAGAGTCTGTTCTATATGTATTTCGAAACTAGGTGGCAGCACTAAAGCAATTCAAAGAACGACTTAAGCGCGCTTTACTTTTGTTTTTTCTTTTTTGAATGGAAATGTAACGCTTTTTTGCCCACACCCTTGTGCGTTGTACCAAATCTACATAGAACTAAACATATTCCTTCCCCAGGCAAAAGCAACGAAATTTTTTTTTTTGGTCTATATATTTTTATTAAAAACATTTTTTTGTATGGTTTTCTTGTTTTTTGGTTTTGTTTTTGGTTTTTTTTTGTTTTTTTTTTTTTGTTTGTTTTTGTTTGTAAATAACGTGACGACTTGAAAACAGAAATTAAATAAGTGTACTTTACTCGTAATGTAGTAGAAAGTGTTATAAAAGCAATATTACAATAACTGTGGTAGAATTGGCTCCTAAAATAGATATTTTACAACTGATACCACTTTTTGTCTTTATATTTAAGCATTAATTGATGCGCTGTACCGCTGAAATCTTGAGCTGTATTGGCCATACGCTCTGCGCGCTCCTCCAACAAATTCAATTTCTCGCCACGCTCCATCGCCAGCTGATGGGCCCGACTGATCTCTGATGCGGCCGTCGATGCCCGTTGGCCCAGCTGCTCCAAATTGGGGCCAGGTATATGACGGGCAACCGAACGATTTGCTTTCCCGCTTTGTTCACCAACTGTCGGTGAGAGAGTTAAGTAAATGGGTTAGTTATAAAAGTTAGTTAAGATTTTTTCTCTTCGATTATCTACAGATCTCATTTGTCATCTGTCATTTATCATCTTTCATCTATCATGTCATCTGTCATCTGTCATCTGTCATCTGTCATCTGTGATCTGTTATCTCTCATCTCTCATCTGTCATCTCTCATCTCTCATCTCTCATCTCTCATCTCTCATCTCTCATCTCTTATCTCTAGCCTCTCGTTACTCTTTTCCCTTGTTTTCTCTTCGTTCTCTTCTCTTGTTTTCTCTTCTCTCCTAACTCGTTTCTCTTCGCCCTTTTCTCTTCTTTCTATTATTTATTATTATCGACTACTTACACAACTCTTCGCGATCCAAAAGCTTGGCTCCACCGCCAAATAGACCCTTAAAGAAACCCTCCTTCGGCTGTTCGGGCATATCGTGTACCGTGTATAACTCACCCATCATCTCCAAAATAAATTGACTATAGGGAAATATAGATGTTATAATATAATATGGGTAATAACGATGGTAATCCCAATTAGTTCTCACCAAAATTCCGATGATATCGTGAATTTCTGAATTTCGGTGGGCGATGCCATGTACAATCCATGACCTTTATGACTAAAGCAAAAGATTTTTGATATTCTGCAATGATTGAGAGGAATCCAATTGAAATATGCTCTATATAGAGATCGGTTTTTTCTCTTACTGAGTTGTATCTTCATGAACAATGATCTGTTGACCCCATATCGAAAGCATTGGATCCACAATTCCCTGTTTACATTTGGTTTGAAAACTAAAGAATAAATAACCATTTTAGATCAAATTTTGCCCAAATTTTGAATAGAGTTTGATCGTACCTTAAGTCCATAAGCGGTAAGAAATCAGTATCCAATAACAGTTTTAGACTAGGAAGACTATGTACCATTAGATGGCCATTCGAAAGATAGGTTGCTAAGCAAGAGCCATCTATAGGGAGTGGATAAGCAATTATAAACATAATTCGTAGAGGAGGTGAATATATACCCTTGCAGATCTCATAGACATTTAGGCATTTATCGATATATGATTTATCGATTTGCACAGTAAATAACAATTTAATTTTCATAATATGGCACAGTTAGGGTTATCTAAGGGATTATCTACTGTTAGGGCTTATCTAGCTTTTCTCTATTCCGTAGAGCTTTCGATTGTTGTTTATCGATAACAATAAATTATTAAAATTATCAAGTTAGCTGGACTATATCACAGACTATATCCATCTCTACTGACAAGCTTACTTGTATGCATGATTCGTACATATCGATAACTGCTATAAGCAAATTGCACATTCGATAACAAATAAATTGATTATATACATTGCACGCAACTGTAAATAGTAGTATAAGTTATCAGATTATAATATTTGTATCTTTAGACACTTATCGATAAATGTTTTCGATAACAAATGTCATATACCGTTAGAGTATATCTATTTGTAGTATATTCTACAAAGCAATTGATTTGTTTCTTTAAGAAACTATCGATAACAAAGTTTCTTTGAACCTATCGTTTAGTTTGCCTAGCTGTCTCTGCAAGGGTAAGTCTATCGATTGGATATCGATTTTTTTTATTTTATGAACCTTTCATCGTGATAGTTTCTGCCTTGACTGCGAAATCCATTTCCGATAATTGTATGCGATTGATGCAGCACTGATTGGCCACATCAAAGACCTTGGTTTGCTTTTCGCTAGCGATAACTATATATTGTCGATCGGTGAGTGTTTCCAGCCCGGTGCTAACGCTGCCGCTGATGCCGCTGCTGCTGGCGCTGCTGCTGCTGATGCCGCCGCCACCGCTACCGCCGACGCCGCCGCCGCCCGTTGCACTGCCGCTGCCACTGCTACCTGTTGCACCTACTCCGCCCGCTGCTGATGCAGCACCTGCAGCACCAGCTCCAGCGCCAGCTCCACCGCCAGCTGTGCTGCCCGCTGCAGCTGCACTACCAGCTCCGCCAGCAACCGATGTGTTTGATATTGTATTGGCAGTTGTTGGTGTAAATGTGGGGCTGGTGCGGCTGCTGCTCTTAGTGGGCGTGCCTAACAGGAGAAAACAAGAAAAACATGTCGATATATATCGATTGTTACAATTGCATATGCGGTTTCGTTAACAGTTACGATCTTTCTTGTCCCGATTCTCGTCGCGCCAAGGCTCAAATGTATAGGGTATGATCGAGCCATACGAGTCTAAAAAAGACATGGAAGTTATGGAACCTTTGAGTCGTACCACGGGTCCACCTAAAATCAGACAGATTAGATATATGCATATGGAAAGAGAAGCAAAGAGAGAGAGAGAGAGAGAGAGAGGTATATACTACACTATAACTTACCGTTTATTGTAACCAACACGGGCTGAGATTTGCGCACATCGCGCTCCGGCATTGTTATGAACAATGTCAATATTGAACCGAAACTAGTTCCAATCCATAAAGTAGGAACAAGTGTCAAAATATCTAATAGCGGGGCGAAAAGAAATTCGAGATTTATCGATACAAAGATAGAATGGAATTGTTCGTTGATGAAATTTCGTTGCTAAATATCGATAACATTACTCAATTTCGATCGAT